CTTCATATTCTCCAGCTGGATAATGATTTTCCCAAAGAACCATCATTAAACTGTGTAATAACTGCAGGCCTCACCCCAGAACCGGATCTTCACACGGACCATGGGAAGTCTGGAGGCGAGTCTACCCCTAAGCCTTGTGGACCACGCATCTCCAATGTGTTGGCCGAGGGAGGCAAGAAGCAGAGAAGAGGTTCCAGCCATCAGCCACCTGGGAGGTGAGTAGCAGAGAACTGGCCAGCACGAGCCTTCAGGGGCCTGAGGGGATGTACAAAAATCACTTCCAGAAATCTTCAGAACAGTGTGGTTCCCAGAAAAGCACAGTGATTCTCCCCATGAAGTTTCTTTTCAAACTAGACTATAAAACCCCACTTCACACCTACACCTCCAGTCTAATTGGGGTGTGACTTCCAAGCCACTAACAAAAAGAAAGAAATGCAATTTGCCATCACAAGTACAAGCTAATTGAGGGGTACATCCATGAGCCTGTCCGTCACTTTGACATGCCCTCTGTGACTAAGCAGCAAACAGCCACCAGCAGCAGAAACGCCCACCATCTCTAAGACAGAATCCCACACCCACCAGACGTCTCCCAGCTTCTGTGGGAGGTGCCAGGTGGCTCCCAAGAAACCTGTGCAGCCTGCTTCAGGACCAGCCAGAGGGAATCAACTTAGAACTGGGGAAGGAGGTCAGTTCTAGAGCAAGACAGATGTCACAGGGCAGGGCTGGGTGACCTAGGGCAGGACTAGGTGACCTAAGGCAAGACTGGGTGACCTAGGGCAGGGCTGGGTGACCTAAGGCAAGACTGGGTGACCTAGGGCAGGAGGGGGGTGACCTAGGCTAAGACTGGGTGACCTAAGGCAGGATTAGGTGATCTAGGGCAGGACTAAGTGTCATAGGGCAGGACTGGGTGACCTAGGGCAGGGCTAGGTGACCTAGGGCAAGACTGGGTGACTTAGGGCAGGGCTGCATGACCTAGGATGGGGCTGAGTGACCTAGGGCAGGACTGGGCAGGACTGGGTGATCTAGGGCAGGGCTGGGTGATCTAAGGCAGGACTAGGTGATCTAGAGCAGGACTGAGTGATCTAGGGCAGGACTGAGTGTCATAGGGCAAGACTAGGTGACCTAGGGCAGGGCTAGGTGACCTAGGGCAGGGCTGGGTGACCTAGGGCATGATTGAGTGACCTAGGGTAGGACTAAATGTCATAGGGCAGGGCTGGGTGACCTAGGGCAGGGCTCGGTGATCTAGGGCAGGACTGGGTGATCTAGATGGTCCGCACTCACTGGATGAAGAAATTGAGTCTCAAAGAGGTTTAGTAACCCCTTACCCCTCCACACCCATGTCTGGAAGACAGTTTGGTGGTTTCTTATAAAACTAAACCTGCTCTTATCATATGAACCAGAAATGTACCCCTTGGTATTTAACCAAAAGAGCTGAAAACATGTCCACACAAAAAACTTCACAGAGATGTTTACAGCAGCTTTATTCACAACTGCCAAAACTTGGAAGCAGGCAAGATGCCCTTAAGTAGGTGAATGGATAAACAAATGGTTGTCCCTCCAGACAATGGAATGTTATTCAGTACTAAAAAGAAATGAGCTGTGAATCCATGAAAATGGAGGTACATGTAGGAACCTTAAATGCATATTACTAAGTGAAAGAAGCCAATCTGAAGAGGCCTTATATACTATATGATTCTAACTCCATGCCATTCTGGATAGAGCAGAACTATGGAGACAGTAAAAAGACCAGTGGTTGGAGGATTGAGGTGTGGGAAGAACAGGGGGGGCACAGAAGACTTTTAGGGCAGTGAAACTACTCTGTATGATCCTATCATGATGGACACAGGTCAGTGTACATTTGTGCAAACCCATGGAGTGTACAAAACAAAAAGTTAACCTTAATGTAAACTAAAACAATGTCCAGATTTGGCAATTTCCATCTCACAGACCAGAGCCCCATGAATGAAGGTGGAGGGTGGGGGCAAGTCCCCTGAAGGCTACACAAGCCAAAAATTTGTACTGTTATTATTTCTCCTAGCCTTTCCCCAAAGGGACCTATGGCCTCTGCTAGGATGACTGTGCACCAGGGAAGAGGAAATAATGAGATTTTTTAGTGGTTACCAAACATTGACTCTGGACTGACACTGACACCAGGAAACTCAAAACGTCACTATGGTCCACCAGTCAGAGAGGGGCTTATAGGAATCAGGTTATCAGATTCATCCTGGGGGTATTTCCCCAGTTCCGGAACCCGTAACTGGAACAGACGCACTCGGCAGTCAGCAGAACCCCCACACTTGTTCCCTAACTTGCAGAGCCAGGATTATTCTGGTGGGAAAGGCCCTAGGACTGCCTCTCCTTACAAAACCATATACTGTATACCGAAAGCAGTTCTGCATCCCTGGAGGGGGTGATCAGTGGGAGATTAGTGCCACCATCAAGGATGTGAAGGATGCAGGGGCGGTGACTGATACCACACCCCATTCAATGCATCTAGTTGGCCTGTGCACAGGACAGGTGGATGTTGGAGAAGGGCAGTGGGTTATCATGAACTGACCCGGGGGTGAGTTACCCAACTGCTTGCTGCTACAGCAAATGTGGTCTCCCTGATAGAGCCAGTGAACACAGCATGGGACCCATGGTGCAGCTACTAGTCCAGTGAGTGCGTTCCCTACGCCCGAAGTAAAGATCACCAGAAGCGTCTGCTCTCACTGGGCAAGGCCAGCAATGCATCTTCCCTTTGCTGTCATGGGTCTCTCAACCCTCCAGCCCCCTGTCAGTATCTGGTCCTCAGGGGCCTTAATTAGCTCTCCTTTCCACAGGACATCATGCACGGGACATCAGTACATTTACAATATTAGGCTGATTGGACCTAATGAGCAGGAAGTAGCATCTATCCACATCTCTGGGTAAGACATTTGCACACCAAAGGATGTCAGTGGCAGACACGGATGATGGTTGCAGCCTTCAAAAGGCCCCTATAGGGCACCTGGGTGGCTCAGTCGGTTGAGCGGCTCCGGTCATGATCCCAGGGTCCTGGGATCGAGCCCCACATCAGGCTCCCTGCTCCGCGGGAAGTCTGCTTCTCCCTCTCCCTCTCTCCCTGCTTCTCCCTCTCCCACTCCCCCTGCTTGTGTTCCCTTTCTCACTGTCTCCCTCTGTCAAGTAAATAAATAAAATCTTTAAAAAAAGAAGAAAAGAAAGGCCCCTATAGGTGAACTACAGAGCAGACCCTCAGGATTTTGGAGCAAACCATGACGTCCTCTGCAGATAGCTACTCTCCTTTCAAGAAACTGCTTCCGGCCTGCTACTTACTATACCTTGGTCAAGAGCAAACGCTCGACCATGGTCCTCCAAGCTACCACACGACTTGGCTATTATGAACTCAATATTGTACGACCACAGGCTTTTTGCAGCTCACGCACATCGTTGCCCCCCGGCCCACTCACTCTGACCTGCAGCAGCGGCCCTGCTCCTCCAAGGCCCCATTCAGCCTCTCCAGCCTCTGGGAACTGTGTGCCTTCAGCTCCCTGATGAGGGCCCGGCTTCTGCAGGACACCTCATCCCCAAGGTCAAGGCCCCCAGAACAGTCATGGACTCCTGTCGGTCCCTGTCCTTGACCTCTGACCTCACACCCACCGTCCCTCCCCACTGTCTCCCTGCAGATTCAGGCCCCACGAACAGCAGCTTGGCAGGGACACTCTCATCTGCCACAGCTGTACACAGCCAAACCCCTGTAACTGACCATGTACGTGGTCTGCTTCCCTGACTGAACCCCAGGACAGCTGGTGTCCCAGGGGGAGAGGATGCCACAGTCCAGTGACTTCGAGTGAATGAAGAAACATAATTCTTTTTTTAAAAAGATTTTATTTGAGAGAGAATGAGCAAGAGAGAGAGCACGAGCAGGGGGAGGGGCAGAGGGAGAAGCCGACTCCCCGCTGCGGGGCTCGCTCTCAGGACCCCGGGATCATGACCTGAGTCGAAGGCAGAGGCTTAACCGACTGAGTCACCCAGGCGCCCCTGAATTAACATAATTCTTTCCTGCAGAACTTTCCAGTGTGTTAGCCAGCCAGTGTACATTATGAACATTCAAAAGGAGGAACGGAGCAAGTACAGTTTCCCAAACTTACTGGACCACAGACCTTCTTTTCTTTATGGAGCCACTGATAAGCCCTGTAGGATTTGATGAAGAAAGAATGTAGGGGCTCTCCCGGCCCCTCACTTCCGGGCCTGGGCCCCCAGCAGGGACATTCAGGTACTGACCGTGCAATTCTACTCCCAAGAACTTCACCCCCAACCCTCACCCAACACCATGGCAATGTTTGCAAGTCAGCTTCTGTCCAGACTCTAAGGGTACAAGGAAATAGGGCTTCACCCCAGCAGGAAGAACAGGTCACAGTAATGCTAAGCATGCTGATGTAGCTTCCCCTCCATCGTAAAAATTATATACATAATATTAATTACATATATGACAATTATACATAATAATTTTCAAATTATTGTAATTTGTAAAATTATCTTCTTAGCACCCCTGTGAAGTAAAGAGATAACAGCAATCTCCTGTGACAAAACTGTATAACAGAAACTTGCATAATGACAGTATGTAGAGGCAAACTGATATTCTGGAGGCCGGTCGGCCACTGGGTTGGATGTGGTCAGGTGGGCTTGAGCAGGCTGCCCAGCGGCCTCCTGGTGCCCACCCGGCCACTCCGCAGGTCTCTCGGACTCTCTGAAGCAGGGACGGAACTGCTGTGGGTCCCGCACGCGCAGCGGCAAGCCAGGGCCGCATCCAACGCACGAAGGAAACACCCACCGAACATTCCATGAGCAAGCCTGCTTGCTCCCAGTCTGCTTCTCTCTATTGCAACACTGGCCGATTTCGCCCTTTTCTAATTCCTTGCCACCTAAGAGGCTCATGGTTTCCACAGAGCACTGAGTGCAATCACAGCCAACAGAAGTGTGCCAGTCCCAGGACACAGTTTTGGGTCAAGCCCACCTACCTGTACGGGAGAGCTTCTGCAAGGTGGCGGTCAGGTGCTGCAGAACCAGCGGTGACACTTCATAGCGGTCTATGTCTATCGCTGGAACCTTCTGGCACCTTCCAAACACTCCATCTGTGGGGAAAGGGAGGCAGAGAAGAAAGAGAAAGTGACATTTCGTTTTCAGAGAGAAGAAAGGTATTAAACACTTCCTTGCAATATATTCTAATTATGCACCATGCTGAGGCTTTGGAATATGGCTTGAGAAAGTCATCAAAACACTATCAGAATTCAGAAGCACTTGGAAAGTAATGGTTTATTTAAATAAAAGAGCATCATGGAAAACACAATTGCAAAGGTATAGAGAAAAGGACGTGAATGCAGTTGTTTGCGTTTTCGATTCTATTTCGCATCCGTTGCCCCCTCGTCTTCCCCACCTCTCACTTTTTATAATTTCCTGCCTGTGGCTTTCACCTTTCTGATGTGAAGCTTTGCTTCTGACAGTCCCGTGACCAAAAAAAAAATCAATAACATTCAGGGCCAGTTTTCCAGATGAGAAACAGAACACCCAAGAAATATAAATACTAATTTGCAGAAGCCATGAGGACTGTGGAAGCGTCTGCCACGCAGGTGCCGTGTTGGAGGGGGCTGGCAAACGGGGGGCAGACCCAGGAATGGCAACAAGGCCCATTTCAAGGGGAGCTTTCAGCAATGTGGCAAAGGAGAGGTGCTCCCGGAACAGGAGACATGAGCAGGGACCAATTTATCTAGCTCTGTTCCATTTGTCTAAAATGACAGACTCTGCTCATCATCTTTTCAAACCACACCTTCTAATTAATTTAGGCCCCAATTAGTCTTTATTCGGCAAATTGTTCACTTTGAAATAAGCTTCCTGTAGGGGGTTCAAACATCCAAATTACTGTCTTTCGTACACACAAAAGACTAATTCAAGGGCCAGTGCGTGATACACAGGGCGGCCATCTGCAGTTTCAGGCCCGGACGGAAAGGGGAAGCACTTCTTTATTGTTCACGATGGGCTCATTGCACGAAGTGTAGCTGAAGAAAGCCATTCAAATGCAACAAGTTTAATTAGCAGAAACACATTTGCCCAGTGCCAGGCTGACTCAGTAATTACTGGTCTGATATTACATATGTGCTTCAGACGGACGGTGCTGTGTGATCAGCAGAAAATCTTCTTAAGTATCGAAAGGATATCGTGAATTTCTATGAGACTCCGCAAAGCTCACAGGATCTGGGAAGACAACCTGCACAGCCGAAGTCAACCTTCTGCCGGCCATCGCCACCGCACTGGGCTCCATGGCACTCTGTCTGAGCGACTCCCTTCAATTAACACAATGGCCACATTGGGCCAGGGTGATTCCCAACGACAGTTCTCTTGGAGGGAGGGCCTTGTCCCCCTGTCACCACCCAGTGAGACAGGCAATTTGCTCCATACAAACACAAACAGTAAGTGTCCCTGTGCTTTTGATTTTATTTTGTGCAAAGAACACCATGCCTGTGGATGGTGTGTTTATGGGGGAGGGGGAAGGGGCTAAGAGAAAAACAAAGAACTCTTTAGAATGCACCTAAAACTTTCAATTTCCTTTGCAAATGGAGTATCTTGAAAGTAAAATCATAATGCATGAGGACTAGAAGGAGCATGAAGATGGTCTGACCCCACATTTTACAGATGAGCATCGTGACCAAGGCCATAGGAGGAAGAGAAATCGGGTTCCTGACTCCCTCCCGGCTGGAGTCCTCATCAGTGAAAAGTAGCCAGACATTTCCTACTTATTTTGGAGCATCCCAAATGAATTAATTCCCTTCTGAAGTATAATGGCATCATTCTTTAAATTTGGTTTATGCTGTACAATGTCGTCAACATATTTTCAGAAAAATATTTATTGGATTTTCTTGAAATCTTTCTCTTAAACATGTATTTAAAACACATATATATAATGTAATACAGAGTATTTTTGTGTTTTTAAAATTAGTTTTAGCCACTAATTTGGTTTTGATGATTTGAAAGTCGAAACTAAACTAACCATTGATTCTCTTTGCCCCTAGACTACAGCCTTGCTGATGAGGTAGGACAGACCTTTCCCCAGTACATTTTTTTAAACTTTATTTTTTAAATAAACTTTTTTTATTATTTAATTTATTTATTTGAGAGAGTGTGTGTGTGTGAGTGTGGGAAAGGGAAGAGAGAGAGGGAGACTGAGACAGGGCTTGATCTCACAACCCTGAGATCGTGACCTGAGCCGAAATCAAGAGTCGGATGCTCAACTGACTGAGCCACCCAGGTGCCCCAAATAAAGTTTATTTTTATCATTTTTTAATTTTGATTCTATTTATTTGACAGAGAGACACAGTGAGAGAGGGAACACAAGCAGGGGGAGTAGGAGAGGGAGAAGCAGACTCCCTACTGAGCAGGGAGCCCGATGTGGGGCTTGATCCCAGGACCCTGGGATCATGACCTGAGCCGAAGGCAGACGCTTAACGACTAAGCCACCCAGGCACCCCTAAACTTTATTTTTTTAAAGCAGTTTTAGATTCACAGCAAAATTGAAGGGAAGGTACAGAGATTTCCCGGATACCTCCTGCCCTCACATATGCATACACATTCCCATAATCAACAGCCCCTGACAGAGTGGTACATTTGCCCAACTGACGAGCCTACGTTGATACATCATTATCACCCAAAGTCCATAGTTTGTATCAGGGCCATTCTTGGTGGGGACATTCTATGGCTTTGGACAAATGCACAATGTCATGTATTCACTATTTTGGCATCACACGGAGTACTTTCACTGCCCTGAAAATCCTCTGTGCTTCACCTGTTCATCGCTCTGCCCCTCCCAGCCCTGGCAACCACTGGCCATTTGACTGTCTCCACAGCTGTGTCTCCACAGCTCCAGAGTGTCACAGTTGGCCCTTGAACAACATTGGTTTAAACTATGTAGGTCCACATTTAGACAGATAATTTTTTTTAGAAATACAGTACTTGTCTGTGCATGTGTATCTACATGTGTATCTACAGTGCACGCGTGCATTGTTTTCATGAATGTGTGCTTCTGTGTCTGCGTGTCTGCGTGTGTCTGCGTGTCTGCGTGTGTCTGCGTGTCTGCATGTCTGCGTGTCTGCATGTGTCCGCATGTGTCTGCGTGTCTGCGTGTGTCTGCATGTGTCTGCGTGTGTCTGTGTGTCTGCATGTGTATGTGTGTCTCTACATGTGTCCTGCATGGTTATGCATTTGTTTTCATGTGTTTTGTGCTCTGCACGTGACATGTATGTGTGTACATATACACACAGCCTCGACTGTTTGTTAAACTGCCAAACTCAGTGTGAGAACCCGAGGGTACTGCTATTCCAACATCATAAGTTCATCTAGGAAACAGATGTTGTTAATACCTCCTTAAAAGAAACCTGATTTCCATATTTATTACTCAATAAACAATTCGCTAGCTTTCTCTGTGTCCTCTGGAGGACTGTGTGCACACTCTCATCAACACACTTAGCATTATTTCCAGCCCCATATCTGCTGTGCATTTGCGAGTCCATCCCTGCCCAGTGTTCTGCCTTGCACCCCTACCTTGGGAAATGCACAGCTCTGCTCTAACGTCACCTGCTGGACAGATGGAATACTGTGGGACATGCTTCTGGGGCAGAAGTGGACATGCAAACTATTCACGCACGATTGTGATGCAGAATACAGAGGAACATGCTACAGGGCAGCATGAAGAAGGGGCACTGACCTCATGCAACATACAAAGGCCCCAGGAAAGTGGCATCAGGTTGGGCTCCAGCATTTACAGAATGGGGTTGCCTACATGGGGCTGGCAAGGACATCTAGGTAGGGGGGCAGGCTCTGTGGAGGGCAGGAAGCCCCCGATCCCTAGAGCTCTGGGACCTAGGGACTGAGCTCCAAGATGTGAAGCAAGTCGGACAAAGCCTGAGGGCGTGGGGGCCTTCCTCCCAGGAGCTGCTAGGACCTTACAGGCTGGTTTTTCATTCTGCCAGGAGCCACGGGGTGAAGGGAGCTGCCTGTCCACAGGAGGGTGGTTCAGCGAGGATGGCCACCATGGAAATAAGAGAACAGGATAGATCCGCAGCCTTTTCAGAGGGGAACCCATAGGATGCCAATGCTGCCCAGCTGCAGGAGAGCCCCTTCCATGTGTCTGTGGCACAGAAAGGTTCTAGGGTTCGAGCAAATATTCTGAGAGATGGCCCAGAGAACATGTGTTTTTCCAAAGCAGTAACAAAGCTGTCTTGCTGCCAACTGGGAGAGGTGGGGAAACGGACGCCCCAGCGGCGCCCAGGGGTGTGAGACTGCACCCTTCCTTGGGGAGGTCACCTCCCAGAGGTGATTTTTTTTTTGCTGGATTTCTGGAAGAATGTGAGAAAACAGTTTGTTTATATTGTCTGTAGGTTTGTTGTAACCAGTGTTCCCTGGAGCATTGCGCCCACAGGCAAAAGTCATTTTCACTCATAAACATCATTGTCCCCTAAACACTGCTGGAGGCCAGCGGCGATGCCCTCCTCCTGGACCAATTCTCCCTTGCTCTGTGGGGCAGTGCGTGTCCCCAGGCTGCATAGCATACATGTGTGCACACACTCACATGCACACACCTCTCCACATCCCTCTGGCACTGACTTCTCCTCGCACCTCAGGGCACTGTGGGCTCCTGGACGGCAAGTATCCAAGCTCCGCCTCTTAGAGCTCCCACATCTGACACCGTCCTCTGCACCCACAGTGGGTTCAATAAATATTTGTGACTGATTAACTGGTGTTTTTCCATTTGCCTGAAAAAAAAGCTGAGATGCCCACAGAAATTTATAACACCATTAGCTAGCATCCTAATTTGCTGGAATCTCACACTGATTTACAAGTCTACAACTCGCAGCAAATGACCTGGCTGAAGGATCGGGGATCGCCAAGAGCAAACCTGGGGGGCTCATGCCGGAGCCCGCAAACGACGGGTGTGCACCTTTGCATTTTCTCAACAAACACCGCGCCGCTTCCTCCTTCAACTCTGATTAGGTTCAGGGCACTGGTTCTCCCTCACACATGGAGGAGGTGGTCCTAGTGGACCTCTGCTCTGGGGAAGAGACTTCATGTTCAGAGACACAGGCCTTCCCTCTTAGGATGCTGTCATTTTGGGGCCTGCTGAGTGCCAGGCCTCCCAGAGAACAACCCAAACCAGCAGGTCAGACCACGCGGCAGCCGTGGGCTTGAACAGGTTGTTTTAGGTCTCTCCAGGAGGGAACCATTTCTGTTCAGTTTCCCTCATGCAACTCGCCTCAGGCTTGCATTAAAGGACATTTAAAAAAAAAAAAAAAAAGCCTGTGGAGCCTAAATTGTACACCTACCGAGAAACATCCCTCACAGTATCATCAGCGTCTCTCTCAAAAAGACCCATCCAGGGGAGGAATCCCCCAGACCCCAGGGCCAGGACCGACCACCTTCTACCTTCCAGTGGCCCTCTCTGCCTGGTCATGAGGCAGCTCTCATCACATTACTGATTTTGTTGTGCTCTGGTAGTATTTTTCTCAAGGAAGTAACCATGTTCTTTGCACCCATGATACTTAATCCTCTCTTCTTCTTTTTGTAATATCTTTACCTGTTTTATTTTTTATACATCTTTTTTACATTTTCACCCCATTATTTCTTTGGGAAGAAATAATGAGACTAGAGAATTCATAAACACAATGTGATCACCTTATTTAGATGTTCAGGGTGGGATAATTAGTTTAGGGCACATTTAGAAATTATGGCAACATACATACCTGTTCAATAATTTATATAAATAGTTTATTCATGTAAATAATATGTGCAAATGTATTATCTTGGTTCCCTGGAAACCTTAGAACAATGTTCTTGATTTTGGAGTAAGAAGTGGATGGGCAGAAAAGGTGTTGCAATCATAAAGTCTTTGCAAATGAGGGTGTACCAGAGGTGGTTTTCAAGTAATTATGGGGCAGGGGGCCCCTGGCTGGCTCAGTTGGTTAAGCTTCCAACTCTTGATCTCAGCTCAGGTCTTGATCTCAGGATTGTGAGCTCAAGCCCCATGTTGGGCTCCACGCTGGGTGTGGAGCCTCTTTAAAAAAAATTTATCATTATTATTATTATTATTATTTTTATTGGGCAGGAGAGAAACATAAACTAAATCACCCACATGCAGAATTCCTTGCAGGGGTAAAAACAAGAGCTTCGGGAAGTCTAGTGCAGGGACTAGCCCTGCTTCTTTCCATAATCACAGAAACAATGGCCTGTGACAGGCATTCAGGTTCTCTCAAAATACTGCACACCGTAAACACCAGATGCATTCGTTCACCTTGTGAAGCGGTGAGCCAACCCTGCGATTGTCTAAAACAACTCCGGGGGCTCGCCTGGGAAACAGGAAGTAAGAACAGGTCTGACCGCAGGACCTCCTGGGGCGTTCCAAGAATTTAACTCAGTGCTCAGAAACGGCACACAGGCTGAGAGAGATGTGTTCGGGGATCCCAGTCCCCACGCTTGACCCCATGGCCGCCCCTGCTGCATCTGGGCACCCATAAGCCGCCATCTAGGGAGCATATACATTTCATAAAACTGGCTCATCACTCGCCCCCACCCTGCATCGAACTTGGCCCCTCGGCGCCCAGTGAGGATGAAGCAGCAACAGTGACCCCTCGTGGCCGCCTCCCCGCATCACTGGATCCTCATCAGTGACAGACGGCAGGGGCGCTCCCGGGAAGCCCGGACAGGCCAGACTCGGAATCAACACAGCCAGTGGCCCCACGAGCTGGCTGGGCCCTAGTTGAGAGATGGTGATGGTGTTGTTCCCCAGGGAGGCAGGGGAAGTAAGGGACACGCACACTTGCATGTGTACACACAAGCTCATACACGTGTATACACACCCACACAAGCTCGCACGCTTACACACTCATACACCCATCTATGCACGTTCTTGCAGCGTTCACAACCAGGCCAAGGGATCCCCCTCATCTGCAGACAGATACCTGCACCCGCCTTGCAGGCCAGCCTAAAGACGCTGTCACCCGCGTCCTGCTGTTCCCGGCTAAACCACCCTTTCCTTCTTTCTGGCCTCCCCACTGAGGTCCCTTAGGACCCAGGCTCTTTCCCCTTCCAGGTGGAAGCTGCCCTCCCCACCCCACTGTGCTGCCCAGGGCACCCACAAGGCCTCTCATACAACGGCCACCGAGGAAGGACCTGCTCCATCAGACGCCAGGGGCACTCCATGCAGAGCGTGGCTGGGGACCGACAGAGGTATCAGCTGTCCAGCAGCCGCGTGTTAGCCTCAGTCCTCGAGCTCGGGAGCTGGTGATGTTCGGCCGCACCTTGTGTGAATACTGGGGATCGACTTCTCCCATCACCCAAGGAGCATGACAAGATCTGGGAAGGTCAACGGCGGCTCATAAGCCCCAGGCCGGCAGTCCGGCGGGGGAGTGGGTGTCAGGGTGAGGCTATGCAGGGAAAACAGTGAAGATGGCACAGCAAGAGTAAACCCAGTCCCGTCCCTGCTCACTGAGAGCTTATGTTCCAAGCACTTTTCTAAGTCTTTTCCGTGCGATGACTCTAAATCCCTGTCACAGTCACACTCCCACGAAGCTGTTACACAGGAGTGCCACCATCCCATTTCACACCACCTGGAAACTGAGGCACAGAGAGGTTCAGGACCTTGCCCAAGGTCTCAACCCAGTATTGTGCATCTGTGATGCATGGGAGTCCTGCCCAGGATCTTCCAGAATGGTCCACTTCACCTTCTGGCCACCATCACCCTGAGCATTAGCTTTCCTTCCCGAACACGTGTCCCAATCTCTGGCGCAGAAAATGTGGTCATTGTAGTTACACTGCAGGGATGGAATGTCTAGTTCTGAAACCAATTAACAAAATCCCCTGGTCTCATGTTTGTCAGCTCTCAAAGGAAGAGCTAACATGTTTACATACAGTTATCATGCACCAGCAACATTCAGACACACTCAACTCAGTTAACCCTGGGACAATTCTCAGTGGTCTGAACTGTCATGGTGGGAAAACCAGGGCCCAGAGAGGTTGAGTGACCTACTGCAGGTCACACGGTAAGCGGCAGGCTGGCCTCGAGTCTGCACACTCGTTACGACTAACACGACATCTCTCTTGTGCAGTTGTGACAGCCAGCACCTGGCCAGGGCGGGGGAAGCAAGACCAGATACCTTCATCGTTTTGATTGCCTAAGCCCACATCAGAAAAAAATAAACCACTGACAGTTAGAGGACCAGCACATGGCTGTTTTTAGCCAACTGATACCAGCAACAGTTTTGAGTGGACTTTTCCTGCACCATGACAAGCCACCCATGGCCAGAGGATCCTGGGCCCTTCCCAAGGTCGTCCTCACGCCTGCACTGGCCATGGGGATGGAGCCACGTGGCTCCCAGAGCTCCCCCTGGCAGCCTGGAGCCACATGCACTACGGGGATGGGTGTGAGCAGGAGATTCTGACTTCCAATGGCATCTGTGAGCTACCCTGATTAAACAGTGGTCCACAGACCAAGCTGGGGGCCTGCCCCTCCAGATGCTCAGGCCGGGCTTGCTTGCTCAGACACCTGGGCCAACCCATACACAGCCTGGACATTCCTAGCTCTGCCCCAGGCTGAGAATGAGATAAGGGACAGAACATTCTTCACTGCTCAGCTGCCTTCATGTTTCCCAGTGAAATCAAGTCAGAGGCGAAGCACCTGACAC